TCTGTATAATAATACTGAGTATCTATACACTGATAATAAACATGTCGCTCTGTATAATAATACTGAGTAACTATACACTGATAATGAACATGTCGCTCTGTATAATAATTCCGAGTATCTATACACTGATAATAAACATGTCGCTCTGTATAATCATTATCAGTGTATAGATACTCATTATTATTATACAGAGCAACATGTTTATTATCAGTGTATAGATACTCGGTATTATTATACAGAGCGACATGTTCATACTGAGTATCTATACGCTGATAATGAACATGTCGCTCTGTATAATCATTATCAGCGTATAGATTCTCAGTATGAACATGTCGCTCTATATAATAATAACGAGTATCTATACACTGATAATAAACATGTTGCTCTGTATAATAATACGGAGTATCTATACACTGATAATAAACATGTCGCTCTGTATAATATTACTGAGTATCTATACGCTGATAATAAACATGTCACTCTGTATAATGATACCGAGTATCTATACACTGATAATAAACATGTCGCTCTGTATAATGATACCGAGTACCTGTTATGTTTGATGATAGCTGACTTACAATAACATACCGTCTATTAATCAGCCAGGATTTATTGATCACAAGTCACATATTATGCTCGATGCCTTTGTTGATATAAACATTCCTGCTGTAACATACACCCAACATGGCGGAACTCCATGCACACACTGGGAAGAGAGCAAATCTAGGGGTAGTATCCATCCCAGCATGCCTTGCACACTTCCTATAGGAGCTGGTTAGGGACAAACTGTGCATTGTGCAAAGCTCCCCTAGAGGGAACTGCTGGTATACACCACAGTATACACATACTATTGTAGTCACTATTCTGAATAATAATACTGAGTATCTATACACTGATAATAAACATGTCCCTCTGTATAATAATATTGAGTATCTATACATTGATAATAAACATGTCGCTCTGTATAATAATACTGAGTATCTATACACTGATAATAAACATGTCGCTCTGTATAATAATATTGAGTATCTATACACGGATAATAAACATGTCGCTCTGTATAATAATACTGAGTATCTATACACTGATAATAAACATGTCGCTGCGTATAATGATACGGAGTATCTATACACTGATAATAAACATGTTGCACTGTATAATAATACTGAGTATCTATACACGGATAATAAACATGTCGCTCTATATAATAATATTGAGTATCTATACACGGATAATAAACATGTCGCTCTGTATAATAATACTGAGTATCTATACACTGATAATAAACATGTTGCACTGTATAATAATACTGAGTATCTAAACACTAATAATAAATATGTCGCTCTGTATAATAATACTGAGTATCTATACATTGATAATAAACATGTCGCTCTGTATAATAATAGTGAGTATCTATACACTATTAAAGGACCACTATAGTGCCAGGAAAACATATTCGTTTCCGGCTCTGGAAAGGGGAAAGGGGTTTAAACTTACCTTTTTCCTGCGCTGGGCGGAGAACTCTCCTCCTCCGTTCCTCCTCCTGGGCTGAATGCGCACGCGCGGCAAGAGCTGCGCGCGCATTCAGCCCGTCGCATAGGAAAGCATTTACAATGTTTTCCTATGGACGCTTGCGTGCTCTCACTGTGAAAATCAGCCACTAGAGGATTAGGGGGAAGGCTTAACCCATTAATAAACAAAGCAGTTTCTCTGAAACCGCTATGTTTCTGCTGAAACTGCTATGTTTATAAAAAAAAATGGTTTAACCCTAGATGGACCTGGCACCCAGACCACTTCATTAAGCTGAAGTGGTCTGGGTGCCTAGAGTGGTCCTTTAAATATGTTGCTCTGTATAATAATAGTGAGTATCTATACACTGATAATAAACATGTCGCTCTGTATAATAATACCGAGTATCTATACAGTGATAATAAACATGTCGCTCTCTACCACTTCAGCTGGAAGAAAATTCCATGATTCCACTACTCTCTCAGTAAAGTAATACTTCCTGATATTATTTTTAAACCTTTGCCCCTCTAATTTAAGCCTATGTCCTCTTGTTGTGGTAGTTTTTTTTCTTTTAAATATAGTCTCCTCCTTTACTGTGTTGATTCCCTTTATGTATTTAAATGTTTCTATCATATCCCCCCTGTCTCGTCTTTCCTCCAAGCTATACATGTTAAGATCCTTTAACCTTTCCTTGTAAGTTTTATTCTCTTAACGACTTATGGTCCAGCTTAGCTTCAGGGCAGTACATTGATTTTAACAAGTGCTGGAGGATGGCTATATATATCTATAAATGTATTTTTATTTCATGGCATTTCAATGATCAATTAGCATAATATTAAATTGTATTTCATTAGGCTTTGTGGAATACAGGTAAGTTTTTAGTTAGTTAATTAATACATGTAATTTATCTAACTGCTTACATGTGACCTACAGAAGTTCATAATGAGTGGCATCTGCACAGAGATATGAAATTGTGTTATACCTCTGGTAATACTCAGAACAGGGCTGTCCAAACATAGGTAATCCAAAGGCTGCATTAAAAAACAAGATTTATACGAGTGCCACATGCAAATACATTTATTACATACCTTATGTTTAGAAATTCTTAATGTTGGTTGGTTTAGCAAGCTTTCAAAAATTTCATAAAAAGAAAAGTCACGATGGCTATACATTTTTGTATTGAACCATTAGACAAGGTACAAAAATTGTTCATTTCATTTAAATGAGAGCTCTGCGGTAGTTCTACTTTGTTTACTAAAGTTGGAATATCAGTTTTGATATTTGCAGTTGCTAATCACAGTAAGTTATTTATCTGTCAATTAATCTTTATTTTGATTTAAAAAATTTCAGTGTTGCAAAAATGCTTTCTCAAAGATAAGGCCCCCCAATCATTTTAAAAAATCCACGTTTTTTTTTACTTCGGTTAGTATACAAAGGATCTGACTGCAAATCAAACAGTTCCAGCTGAAGGTCCGATCTTGTTACATTTTCAATACTGACATGCAAGGGTTGAGTAAAAATGTAAATATCTTCCTCAATGTCCTTAAAATCACCAAATTGATTCACAAAATCCTCAAGGATTTGCTGAAAGTGATAGTTACTAAAAATTCTTAATTTCTTCAAAATATTCTTTGCAATTCAGAAATAAAATATTATTAACCAATACTGATTTAAAAAGCTTAAATTTACTTTTAAAACCATTAAAATGACCAATGACCAATATTCTGTTTACCCTGTAGTTCAACTCATTCAAATGGCTAGTCATCTCTGCGACCATCAGCTCCACCAAGCAGGTTCGCTGCCTAGGTGTTCTCTTTGACTCCGACCTCTCCTTCAAGCCTCATGTTCAATCTATTGCCAAATCCTGTCATTTCCATCTCAAAAACATTTTGTGCATCCGCCCCTACTTAACGCCAGATGCGACTAAGGTGTTGGTCCATTCCACTGTCCTTTCTCGACTTGACTACTGTAATCCGCTGCTCCGTGGTCTTACGTGCTCCCAACTTGCGCTGTTACAGTCCATAATGAATGCAGCGGTGAGGCTCATATTCCTATACTATCACTACTTAATTGATAACTATATCTCCCATCCTGATCTTCTTCTGTTTTTGTTTTTCTTAAAGACTCTCTAAGACTCTTTGTTAATTGTTGGTTTAGCTAGTGTTACTACTCTCACTGATAATCTTGTACATTTATGTTCATGGTTTATGACTTTCACCTATCTGATCCTTCATATCTTTTTATTCCAAATGTTCTCTCCTCTGGTTTTTCATCTCTAATTAATTGCCTCAATAGCAGTGTATTTTCTTTCTTTTTTTTTTTCTAACCTCAGACCTTCTATTTCAGACTGGGCCCCTTAAAACAGCATTAACACCCAGAACTCCCAAGCAACCAAGTCCTGCAGAATCTTCTGAGCTGGGGTGTCATCTCTGGGAGACTGCCCACCCACCCCATGGTCATTACCTTACTTATAGATTGTGCAAATCAGCTGGTTTCCAAAACACACCAATCAAGTCACTAAACCTCTCCTCACCTGAAATCCTCAGTTAACATACTGCATCCTTACAATGGTTTAAACACTCATTGATATTTGTGTGTGTGTGTATATATGTATATGATTTATATATGTGCACATATACATATATATATATATATATATATATATATATATATACACATATTATATATAATACACTTTCTCTAATGTTCTCACTTCTATTTTTCACTTTAACACTAACTTCTCTCATTACTAAAATATCCCTATCCTTTTGCTCACCTGTCCCTGGCAACACCATCGTCATTACTTCCACCTTACTCCCCTCCCCTCTCTATTCATCCCATGCACTCTACACATACCTTTCCAGCCTATCTCCACCAACTCCTCCCAAATCCTCTACATACATACCCTCCTACAAAACTTTCAAATCCTACTCCCACCTTCACTTCCTTTCTATCCTTCTGCTCCTAGCAGCTGGTGATGTCTCTCCAAATCCCGGTACCATCTCAGCAAACTCACCACATACTAACCCAAGGATCCACATTAATCTCATACCCATCTCAAGTTCCGCTAAATCCTCCTTCAATACTGCCCTCTGGAATGCATACTCTGTTTGCAATATTACTAAATCCACTGCTGTCAATGACTTCTTTATCTCTCGTTCAATAGATTTACTAGCCTTAACAGAAACCTGACTCTCCCCCCCTGACACTGCTACCACCGCATCTTTG